ATTTAAACTGCTGTTATCTCTCCACGTCTGAAAGTACATGGAGTGAGGAGAGAGTGTGCACCTGTGTGTATCTGTGTGTGTGTGTGTGTGTGTACGTGGGGTATCAGTATATTTACAATTGTATATGTTGTGGGAATAGGAAGGAGAGAGAGAGAGTGTATTTATATTTACATGAACGTCGTTGCAATCGACTCACATACACTCACACACATATGTATATATATATATATATAGAAATAATTGTGGTCACAAATAAATGTTGCATTTAATATATATATAAAAAAATATATATATATAATACATAAAATGCAGATATTGCATTGCTTTCTCCCCCCAACAAAATCTCCCTCTCCCAAACAAACACACATCAGATCTATTCTCCCCCTCCCCAACTTGCACGACACTTCAACCCCCCAAACTGTGCAAACAGCCAACGTTTCGCACCGTCTCTAAAATGTATATTAATATGAAAAAAAACGCGCAATTATTTGTAAGATGAAATATACACATATGTAACATACAGTAAACAAGTGAGAGATAAGGGGATGGGGTGGATCTTAGATTTAATAATATTGTTTTTCCAGCATTTAATTGATTTAATATATATATATATATATATAATTCCATTTATTTTTTTCCATTTAATAACGTTTGCATCTGAGCACATAACACATACACTATAATAACAGATATAATATAACATATATAATATAATGGTTCGCTCACCACCTCTCCCTGTGCAAACAACTTGTGTCTATGTGCATATCCCTCTCTCTCTCTCTCTCTCTCTCTACACACACACATATATATATATATATGTGTGTATAAATATAACGCGTTAAATTGTCAACGCTGGAGGTTTGCAATCATTCAGCTGCTGTGCAGAGCTGTACTTACATTGTGGTTGAGGTTTTGCAAAGCGACGTTCATTCTGCAGAACAGGAGGAAAATCAGAGAGGCACATTCCCATCAATGTGCGCCATGGTAGTGGTCTGCAATCACACCACACTGGAGGGGGGCAGAGGAGGTCCAGGGGTTTGATCTGTCTGCCTCTGTCTGTACTGTACTGTACTGTGTGTGTGTGATGTGTGTGTGTGTGATGGGGAGGGGGGGTGTTATTTTCTGGCTGCTGATGTGTTTGCAGGGAGGAGACTAGGGATGGGATGGGCAAACATCGTGCATATTGCGCCACTGACTGCACACAGGGACAGCGAAAGCCACAGGAGTCGCTGTGTCAGGTGTGGTCAGGGAATCAGCTTCATTAATCAATCAATCAATCAATCAATCAATCAATCAATCCAATCAATCAATTATTTGGGGGTCCTGCTCGCTCCTTGTCTGCTGAAGCAGAATGCCATGACCCGCATTTTGAGAGCCACAATCATTTATTAGTAATAATCCTTGCATTGGATGGAGCGCCTTATCACAACTTTGAGACGTCTCAAAGAGCTTCGCACAATACACTGTAAAGCAAATTGACTGTATATTTTGTGGGCAGCATGCGGCAGTCAATTGCACACAGCCGCGTCCCACAAACGGTCGGTCGTGAGTTGATTGACCATGTTATTTATTAATTTATTTTGAAGGGATTATTACCACTGGGAAAGCTTTTCGCCAAACGACTAACAACTGGGTTCCTACTAGCTGCTAGGTAAACAGAAGCGTGCGGAGTAAGGAAGCTTGCCTAACGTTTTGCCCTGCTCGGGAATCAAAAACAGGTCCTCTCGTTTGCAAGGCTAATGCTCTAACCAACTAAGCCACAGGATTCCACATTTGCAAATGTGCATCTCCTGCAGATGTGGTTGAGACAGGATGTGGAATGGCAATTCAATCACTGGGGAGAGAGAATCCTCCCACTCAGCTCCTGTTAACCCAGCAAGCCAAAGCCCAAATGATAGGGTGGTTCTCGCTGGACAAGCAGCAGGAAAATTTGCCAGACAGCAATATCAATGCCAAGCTATTTGTTGGTTTTAGCCTGTTAGACTCCAACGGTTATCCCAACGCACACTCTGGAATCTTCAAGCCTTGGCTCTTGCCAACCTGCACCTAATACTCTCCGGCATCAGGTAAGCAGGATGCACCCTTCAGGGAGAGAGAGAGTGCGCATTCCATTCCAACAATCTATCTCTGGGATGAGGTTTAATTTTAACTATTTGCAAACTAATGTAATCTTCATCTGCTTTTGTCAGAAATTAAATGTGCCTAGATTTCCATGTTGTCCCCCTTGCAGTCTTGAAACGTGGAGTCCTGTAGCTCAGTGGTTAGAGCACTCGCTTTGCAAGTGAGAGACCTGAGTTCAATTCCAGGCAGAGGGCGAAACCTTGGGCAAGTTTCCTTACTCCACACAGAGCCTAATAATAATCCCTCCAAAACCAAAACCAATAATAAATTGGTCATTTTCAATCTACGACTGTTTGTGGGACATAGCTGTGCGCAATTGGCTGCCGCGTTCGCCCACAAATATACAGTCAATTCACTTTACAGTGTGTTCTGTGAAGCGCTTTGGGACGTCCTCCTGACGTGAAAAGCGCTATATCAAATGCAAGGATTATTATTATTATTATTATTATTATTATTAAACTCAAAACACCTAATTGTTGGTCCTGTGGCTTAGTGGTTAGAGCAACTGCCTTGCAAGCGAGAAGACCTGGGTTCGATTCCCATTTAGCAGGGTGAAATGTTGGGCAAGTTTCCTAACTCTACAGGCCTCTGTTTACCTAGCAGTAAGTAGGAACCTGTTTTTTTAGTCGATTGGCAGATCGCTTTTCCGGGAGTAATACTTCCTTCAAAATAAATTCAAATAATTTCGTCACTCAATCCACAATTGTGGGATACTGCTGTGCATAATTGGCTGCCTTGTTTCGCCCACGAAATATACAATCAATTCATTTAACAGTATATCCTGTGAAGCACTTTGAGATGCTTCAAAGATATGATAAGGCGCTATATCAAATGCAAGGATTATTATTATTTTAACTCCCTAATGTGTTTCAGGAATAACAAACAGGACCCACAACAGACTGAAATTTGCCATATCAGTATGCATTTTGCCCACTACAGTCAATCCACTTTATAGTGAATCAGATAAAGCGTTTTGAGACATCTCAACGATGTGATAAAGCACAGTATCAAATGCAAGGATTATTATTGTTGATTTCTTTTGGGGGGTGGAGAGGAAGGAATTTATTCCCAAATTATGAACATTCATTTCTCTCCTGACATGGTTGCGTCCCACTCACTATAATTTTCTCCTCCTCCTTTCTTCCAGGCAAAATTTAGCCTACATTTAATGTTTTAATCAAATAACTGAATAAAGTTAGTTTCCTTTCCCTTAATGATGGTGTTACTGCCTCTCCCCCCTCCCACCCCCAGTGCTTTTTTAAATGAAGACAAATGGGTTTAATTTTGACACCGGCTAAAATGTGCTCATAGGTACCATCAATTTGGAAAAAAAATCTTCTTCCTTGTTATTTCTCAACAGAAAAATATATTCTTGTAACCTCTGGAAACACTATTACAATATACCTCAAAGCATTAGAGCGACATCATGTGGCTGTTACTGGGATATAGGAGACTTGAGTGGAGGGACGTACTGTAAAAGGGTTTCCTATTAGTAATGAGAGACTGAGAGAGAAAATAAACCACAGCTCAGATCTCATCGGTGGATTTTTTTTGTTAAAATGTAGTCCTTAAACCTCTGGGTGTGTCATTTAATAATAATAATCCTTGCATTTGATACAGCTCCTTATCACGTTGTTCAGACTTCATAAAGCGCTTCAAAGGATAGATATATTATAAAGGGATTGACTGTATTTTGTGGGTGAAATGCAGCAGCCAACTGTACACAGCAGCGTCCCACAAACAGTCATGGATTGAATGACCAAATATTTTTGAAGGGATTATTAACCTTGGAAAGCGATCTGCCAATCGACTAATAACCGGGTTCCTGCTACAGAGAGTAATTACTCATTAAACCAGAGAAATTCTTAGCACATTCATTCTCATGGGTATCATATGTTTTCCTAAATTGCATTTTTTAGATTATTAATCCCACTTTCCAGCTCATTCCTCAGGTCCCTGAGGTCATGATCATTCATGACCCAGTCTTCATAACCATCAGCTGTTGGTTAAATAATGCCTTCGATGAACCACCAAAGTGCTTTTAAAGTGTCCCACAAAACATTCGTGGAGTGAGTGACAAAATTATTATTATTATTATTATTTTGAAGGATTTATTACCCCCAGAAAGCGATTCGCCAATCCGCGAGCAACCGGGTAACCGGGTTCCTACGAACTGCGAGGCAAACGGAGGCGTGCGCGCGCAGCTAGAAATCTCGCCTAAGGTTTCGCCCTGTCCTGGCCGGGAATTGAACCCGGGTCCTCTTGCTTGTGAGGTGAGCGCTGCTGCTGACCACCATGCTGGATGGCTGGATGCTCGGAGTGATGGGCGGGATGGATGGATGGATGGATGGATGGACGGATTGGACGGATTGGATGGATGGCGATCCTCCGCTACTACCCCCGATGGCCCCCCCCAACGGTCCCCCCCCGCTCGACTGGCTCCGGCCTCCGCCTTGTCTCCCGGGACCCTCCGCCCCGCAATCGGCGTCCGCGCTGTCAAACCGCTGCACCCCCGAAACTGCGGGACCCTCTCCCTCAAATCCCTTCGCCTTGAACCCCCTCCCTCCCCTCCCCTCCCCCTCCCCCGTTCGGACAGGTCGTGCCTGAAGACCTTTCTCTTCGACCGCTGTCAAGCGCTCCGGGACCCCCCCCATGACCCGCCCCGGGACTCGAACCCGGCTCCTCTGGTTTGCCAGGCGAGCGGGATACCCACTACACTAGATGGGTGGATTGATTGGATGGATGGATGGATGGTTGGATGGATGACTGACAGGTACGTGATTTCGAGCGCGTTTGTGGTGCGTCGGGACCCTCTGGAGCCGCCGTAGACTCCTCCCCCCCCCCCCCGCGCGGGAGCGCGAGCGGCGGCCGTTACCCGGCGAGCCCCGCGCGCGCGCAGACAGCAAGATGGAGGAGACCAAGAAGCCGCCGGCGACCCGCAGAGCGGCGGACGAGAAACCGGCGCCCACCCCGGACAAGGACAAGAAGGACAATGGCGACAAGGAGGAGGAGCTGGTGAGGGCAGGACAGCGAGCGGGGCGGCCATCAGGCCCTGGGGGAGAGAGGGGAGGGGAGGCCGGGGCCTGGGGCAAGGTTTGCTGTGTCACCCGGGACAGGCCCCGGCGCCTCGGCCTCTCCCTCCCTCCCTCCCTCCCTCTCGCTCTCTCTCTCTCTCCTCCCGATCCCTCCCTCCGGTTGGGATAGAAATGTCGCCCACGAAATACACAGTCACTACACGTTACAGTACATTCTGTGAAGCGCTTTGGGGCGTCTCTGAGGCGCCAGGTCAAAAGCGAGGATTATTATTATTATTATTATTATAAAACGAGGCTATATAAATGGGCAATGCAGGAGAGTATCCCCCAAACCCCCATCAAATTATTTTTTTGCTGCAAACGACTGCTTGTCATTTGTATTTATTTATTATTTTTATTGCTTGATGTAGTCCATGTGCCATTCATGGCTTCAGTGCTGTGGGTGAATACCTTGTGAGGCGCTGCAGTTTATTTCCCTCAAGTCTATAAAAGTGCGGTTCTCACGGCTGTCGTCGGTTAGTCGTATCACAACCTTAACAGAACAGCAACAACAACAGTAATACTAATAACGATGGCGATCCTTGCATTTGATAGAGCGCCTCAATGTTTCTTCGTGACGTCTCAAAGCGCTTCGCAGAATATACTGTCAAGTGAATTGACTGTATGATTTGCGGGTGAAACGCGGCGGCCAATTACGTACAGCAGCGTCCCCGCAAACAGCCGTGGGTTGAGTGACCCCTATTATTATTTTTGATTCATGGTCGAGACTTTTTTTTGTTTATTTCACTGACTTAAATTAGTTCTGTTTTTTATGAGGTGGGATCTGAACATTATTAATGTAATCTGATTTTTTGTGTGTGATTTAACAACAACAAGATTATACTTGTATAGCGCCTTTCATGTCTGGAGGACATCCCAAGGCGCTGGACAGAGCAGTATTTCAGACCTGAGCTGGCGTGTGTCAGGGAGGAATCGGAACATTTGCCCACAAAATATAGTCTATTCATTTTACAGTATGCAAAATCCTGCAGATGCTGGCAATCTGAAACAAAAACAGACGTGCCCGGTACCACTCAGCAGGTCAGGCAGCATCTATGGAGAAAAAAAGTGAATCAACGTTTCGGGTTCCTCGACTCTTCGTCAGAACTCAGCTCCCAGTTCTGTCGAAGGGTTGTGGCCCCGAAACGTTGATTCACTTTCCTTTCTCCATAGATGCTGCCTGACCTGCTGAGTGTCCCCAGCCACTTCTGTTTTTGTTTCACTTTACAGTATATGCTGTGAAGCGCTTTGAGACATCTCAAAAATGTGATGAGGAGCCATATCAAACACAAGGATTATTATTTTCAGTTCTCTCCCTTGGTGTCAAAATAAAGTGCTCCCGGGTTAACTCTTTGGCTCCCAAGTCTAATATTCAAATATTAAGCATCTGAGACTGTGTAAAAGAGAGGCTGCTTACTTAATAGAAATCACATACAAAATTGACGTGTTGCTGTTGTCCCACAGCCATGATTGAAACATTCATGTGCCACTTTCAAACTTTATGTTCTATCTTTTCAGTCTGATGAAGATAAGCAGCTGCAGGAGGAGTTGGAGATGCTGGTGGAAAGGTTGAGTGTAAGTATCTTTTTCCTTTAGTGAGTGATTGATTCTATCTAAAGTCAAATTCTATTCACGTAGCCACTTAAGAGTTCCTTCTATTTTTTTTCTTGTGGAATTATTAAAGCTTGTTTTCTGCGATTGTGTTCGAATACTTTTTATGTTTTAGTTTTAAACTAGATTTTTAGTTGTACAATGACATTCTGCATTCAAAGGTGTTCTATCGTAATGAAGTTGCAAAAAATATCTTATTTACCAAGAAATGTTTTCAACTATGTTTGTGTTTCTCCATTCTTATTGTCGAGTGCTTCAAATAATCCAAGCACTTTTCTCTTGTCATATTGTTGTGGCGTCCATTGTGGAACTTGTTTATAAGAACCATTGGAGCAGTAAATGATACATGTTTGAAAAATTATTTACAACATTCCTAGTAGTTTACCAATCATGAGGTTGATTCACTTCTCTGTAGGAAGAGGACACAAAACTTTATCGGCCAGCTCTAGAGGAACTCCGGAGGCAGATTCGTTCATCCACCACCTCCATGACATCTGTGCCCAAACCACTTAAATTTCTTCGACCACACTATGAGAAACTCAAAGAGGTTTATGAGAAGATACCGTCAGGTGAAAATAAGGTACATTGTCTCGTAGGTGTCTCATAATACAGCAATTGGATATTTTTATGAATTGAATTCTTTTGAGAAATCCTGTATTGCCTGGTGACTACAAATTTGATTTCCTTTTACAAAATAATACAAAGCTTTCTTCTGTTTCTTCTGCTACCGGCCCATCTCCAACCTCCCCTTGCTGTCCAAGGTCCTTGAAAGAGTCGTCGCCTACCAGCTGCGCTCTTTCCTCTCCACCCATTCATTATTCGAACCCCTTCAGTTGGGTTTCCGTGCTGCCCATAGCACAGAAACTGCCCTGGTCAAGGTCACTAATGACGTCTTGACCATCTGCCTCCTCGACCTATCGGCCGCATTCGATACAGTCGACCACGCTATCCTCCTCCACTGCTTGTCCTCCCACCTCAACCTTCAAGGCCCTGTCCTTGAGTGGTTTAGGTCGTACCTCTCCCACCATCTTCATTTTGTTTCCACAAACGGCTTTTCCTCCAGCCACCGCACTGTGTCATGCGGTGTCCCTCAGGGCTCTGTCCTCGGTCCCCTCCTCTTCACCCTCTATATGCTCCCCCTTGGTAACATCATCCGCAGACATGGGGTTAACTTCCACATGTATGCGGATGACACCCAACTCTACCTTTCCTCCTCTACCCTCAACTCCACGACCACCGATGTCCTGACAGCTGCCTGTCCGACATCGAGTCCTGGACGAGAGACAACTTTCTTCAGCTCAACGTGCGCAAAACTGAGGTCCTCCTGATTGGCTCACGTCAGCGCCTCCGCACCTCAGGCGCTGACAGCATCAGCATCCAAGGCTGCACTCTCCACCTCTCAAAGCCGGTCAGGAACCTCGGTGTTCTGTACGACCCTGAGCTGTCCTTTCTTCCTCATATCCGCACCACAACTGGCACCGCCTTCCATCACCTCTGGAACATCGCCAGACTACGGCACTACCTCACCCCTCACGCTGCTGAAACTCTGGTCCACGCCTTTATCACCTCAAGGCTGGACTATGGGAACTCTCTCCTCGCGGCCTTCCCGCCACCTCCCTCCACACTGCAGGTCATTCAGAACTCTGCAGCTCGTGTACTGTCCCGCACCAGACACCGCGCCCACATCACTCCCACTCTCGCCCTCACCCTCGCCCTCGCTTGCCTCCACTGGCTTCCCATCCCCCAGAGGATCGAATTCAAGATCCTCATCCTCACCTGCAAGGCCATTCACGGCCTCGCTCCCTCCTACCTCTCCGACCTACTATCCCCCTACCTACCTGCCCGTACCCTCCGTTCCTCTGGCTCCGGTCTGCTCCACATCCCCCGCCCCAACCGCCCTACCATCGGTGGTCGGGCCTTCAGCCTCTCAGGCCCGAGGCTCTGGAACTCCATCCCCCAGTGCCTTCGCCGCTTCCTCCCTTTCCTCCTTCAAGGCCGGTCTCAAGACCTTTCTCTTCGACCGTGCCTTCAGCTCCCCTCTCGACTCTCTACCTCCTCCTCGCTCCCTCCCTTCCCTCACCCTGACCATTTCCCCCCTGCTCGGGTCCTGACCCAACTGTCCAGCGCCTTGGGACGTCCTCCCGACGTGAAAGGTGCTCTATAAATGAAATCTTGTTGTTGTTGTTTTCTGGGCAAAGGTTTGTGCACATGATGTTGAACATCTCTTGGTGGAAAATATTTATCTATTCTCTATCAGGATCATATAAAAACTTATTGACTTTAAATGTTAACTTATTATAACATGCTGAAAGTCGATGTGTTATAACGCTGAACATATCCAGTTTATCCTCGGAAACCACATTAGCAATAAATTGCAAAGGAATTTTTTTTGAGTGTTTAGTGAAACTTGTTTAAAAAGTTTTTTTTTTAATCCAGCGTTTCTGCGCTGACATTGTGTCAGTGTTGGCAATGACAATGAGTGGAGATAGAGAATGTCTGAAATACAGACTTCAAGGTTCTCAGGAAGAACTGGCTTCGTGGGGACATGAATATGTCAGGTAACAATTCATTAAATAACTCGGGTTATGGTTAAAATGGAAATATTGCATCTCTTCTCATTTTGGGCTCTTTAGTGATTCCTGTATTTTATTAACTCCATTTTTGTTGGAAATTGTAAAACTCGCTTTCCTGGGTATAACACAGCATATATTAAATTGCACACTATTGGGACATTATCGTGTCTAATGCAACAACAAAATTACATTTGTATAGCGCCTTTCACGTCGGGAGGACGTTCCAGGGCATTGGACAGTGTACAGCATTTGAGACCCGAACTGGGATCAGGTGGGGGGAACGGGGGTGGCCGATGGATGGTCAAAGAGGAGGGTCTTGAGGCGGGACTTGACGGAGGCTAAGGAGGGGGCGAGGTGGAGTGACTGGGGGATGGAATTTCAGAGGTTGGGGGCAGAGTGGCTGAAGGCTCTCCCGCCAATGGTGGGCGGGTGGGTCGGGGGACGTGGAGCAGGCCGGAGCCGGCTGAGCGGAGGGAGCGGGCGGGTTGGTAGGGGGTTAGGAGGTCGCAGAGGTAGGGTGGGGCGAGGCCATGGAGGGCTTTGGATGTGAGGACCAGGATCTTGAACTGGATCCTCTGAAGGATAGGGAGCCAATGGAGTCGGGTGAGAATGGGAGAGATGGGGCCACGGAGTTTGGTGCGGGAGAGGACACAGGCTGCAGAGTTGTGGATTATCTGCAGCTGTGGAGGGAGGAGTTGGGAAGGCCGACAAGCAGGGCGTTTGCACAGTCGAGCCTGGAGGTGATGAAGGCATGAACAAGAGTTTCAGCGGCCTGAGGGGTGAGGTAGTGGCAGAGTCGGGTGATGTTACAGAGGTGAGGGAAGGCAGAGCGGGTCATGGCTTGGATGTGGGGAAGAAGACAGTTGAGGGTCGAACAAGACACCGAGGTTCCTGACTGGCGGTGAGTTGAAGTGTGCAACCATGGAGGTTGATGCTGCCAGAGCCTGAGGTGCAGAGGCGCTGGTGCGAGCCAATCAGGATAGAGAACGTCTATTCAACAACAGCAACTTGCATTTATATAGCTCCCTTCGGTGTCTTGAAATACTTAATTTAATCTATTTCCCAGGTAGATTACTATATTGATACACATTCTAAAGTATGGGAAGGAGGGAAATGTGCTTGGAAGTGAATGAGTCAGTTTTGACCACTCACTCTAGTCCTGTTGATTGCTTGTTGGAGGTTCATTTTCTTGGCTTCATCTATAATTTTGTTCTTTTCACCTTTCATTCCCTGTGATGTATTTTTTCCTCTCTCCTTTCGTGTCCATTCTAAGTCTGATTCTCAGAGTTTGCTCACCGAATGCATTTTAATTGGAATAATTGTGCTTTCTTCCTTTTTAAAATGGTTTTCCTGTTGCAGGCACCTGTCAGGTGAGGTGGCAAAGGAATGGCAGGAGATTGATGAGAATGATAAACCTCAACAAGAAACCCTGCTGACTCTGGTAAAGGAGATTGTTCCCTATAACATGGCTCACAATGCTGAGCATGAGGCATGTGATCTGCTAATGGAGATCGAACGTCTTAATATGTTGGAAGATTATATTGATGAAAATGCCTATTCCAAAGTCTGCTTATATTTGACCAGGTATGTTTGTCTGTTCTTTTTGGAACTGTTATAATGAGCAGTGAGCCATGACAAATTGGTTTTCTTCTCTCTTACATTGTTTCCCTGATGTTCTTTTATTTGCTCTCGAGGTGGAACATTTCTTTATAATGTGCAAATCTTGGGTGTGACAACATGTTTGAAACCTTCAATGTCGTTTTTTTTGATTGTTTGCCAAATATGTGATTTGAATTACTCTGTCTCACATTTTTTCAGTTGTGTCAGTTACGTTCCCGAGCCAGAGAATTCAGCTCTACTTCGATGTGCACTTAGTATTTTCCGGAAGTTCAATCGTTATCCTGAGGCTCTGCGTCTGGCACTGATGCTTAACGACATGGAATTAGTCGAAGACATTTTTACTTCCTGTAAAGACGTGTATGTACAAAAATTGCTTTTAAACAGTTTAAGATACTTTGTGCACCACTTTGGGGATTGAGATATTAAGTGGAAGGAATTATTATTATGTATTCCACTCTTGGATTTAATTCCTATCAAACCTTTTACTGCGTGGTAACATCTTAATGTCCATTTGTTTACTTTGATCTCTGTCCTTTGTAGATTCATCTGGTACTTTAATATATAGTGACTAGAACCAAAAACTGTTAAAATCAAGTTGATACACATGACCATTATAAATAATGTCTGTGTGTAATTTTTCTTTAATATGACTTTAATTTAACTTAATCTACAGTGTTATTCAGAAGCAGCTGGCATTTATGTTGGGTCGTCATGGTGTATTCTTGGAGCTGAATGAAGATGTAGAAGATTATGAGGATCTGACAGAAATAATGTCTAACGTCCAGTTGAACAGCAATTTCCTGGCCCTTGCAAGAGAGGTAAGCTATGCCTAGATTCCGCAGAGGTACATCAGAATAATACTTACATTTAATTATTGCGCCTTTCAAGTCGGAAGGACCTCCGAAGCGCTTCACCTGATATACTATAAAGTAAAGTGATTGTGTTTTGTGGGTGAATAAGTTCTGTAGCTTAGTGGATAGGGCACTCGCATGGGAGAGACCTGGGTTTGATTCCTGAGAGGGCGAAACCTTGGGTAAGTTTCCTTACTCCACACACCTGACAATAATCCCTCAAGAAAAAATAATAATAAATTGGTCACTTCAATCCACGACTGTTTGTGGAACACTGCTGTGTGCAATTGGCTGCTGCGTTTCGTCCACAAATATACAGACAATTCACTTTACAGTCTATTCTGTGAAGCGCTTTGAGACGTCGAGAAGACGTGAGAAGCGCTATATCAATTGCAAGGATTATTATAGTTGATTGATACAGTGTAGCATCCTTATAATGCAGTATATCAGGTGGCCCAAATAATTTTGGTTTAATATTTTGTCCTGAGAGGAAAGTCCTTTTGGTATTCAGTGACCCTATGTACTATTGGTTTGCATTCTGGAATGGAACAGGTCCATTGAGATCAGGAACAGATTCTCAGCAGTCTGAAAATCAAGCTAAAATACTCAGTATATCATAAAATATTACAGCACAGAAGGAGACCATTTGGCCCATTGTGCCTTCTCTTTGACCGAGCCTTCAGCTCCCCTCTCGACTCTCTTCCCCCTCCTCGCTCCCTCCCTTCCCTCCCCCTGACCATTTCCCCCCTCCTCGCTCCCTCCCTTCCCTCCCCTCACCATTTCCCCCCTCCTCGCTCCCTCCCCACCCCTGACCATTTCCCCCTGCTCGGGTCCTGACCCAACTGTGCAGCGCCTTGGGACGTCCTCCTGACATGAAAGGCGCTTTATAAAGGAATCTTGTTGTTGTTGTTGTTGCCTGTGCCAGCTCTTTGGAAGAATCACCCAATCAGTTCCCCCGCTCTTTCACCATACCCCTGCAAATTTTTCCTTTCCAAGTACCTATCTAATTCCCTTTTGAAAGTTGTTATTGAATCTGTTTCCACCAACCTGTCAAATAGAGCAATCCAGAGCGTATCGACTCTCTATGTATTTAAAAGAAATTAAAAAAATCTCCTCATCTGATTCTTTTGCCAATTATCTTCAATCTATGTGCGCTCTGGTTACTGACCCACCAGCCAGTGGAAACATTTTCTCCCTATCTTTCAAAACCTCTCATAATTTTGAACACTTCTATTAAATATCTCCTTAACCTTCAATCCCAGCTTCTCTAGTCTCCACATAACTAAAGCCCCTGATCCCTGGTACCATTCTGGTAAACTCCTCTAGACCCTATCCAAGGCCTTAACATTCTTCCTAGAGTGCGGTGCCTAGAACTGGACACAATGCTCCAGCTGAGGCCGAACCAATGACTTATAAAGGTTTAGCAGAACTTCCTTGCTTTTGTACTCTGTCTTTATTTATTTATAAAGCCAAGGATCCCTTTAACAACTCTCTCAACCTGTCCTGCTACCTTCAAAGACCTGTGTATGCGAACCCCTAGGTTTCTCTGCTACTGTACCCCCTTTAAAACTACCATTTAGTGTATATTGCCTCTCCTCATTCTTCCTCCCAATATGCATCACCTCACACTTCTCTGCATTAAAGAAGTAATCTGTCGAAGTAAGTTTACAAATCTTGTAGAAGTAAGCTTACAAATGCTGTAAAATACTGAAGTCGCAGCAACTGACACATATGACTGAGCTTTCTTGAAGAATTCCATTTCCGCAGCTGTCCAGAGACTTTTTGTCTGGGTCGATCAAATACCTATCAACAAAATGCTGTGACGTAAACAGAAATGATTGGAAATGTGTGCTTACCTCCCCCACAGCTGGACATAATGGAGCCAAAAGTACCAGAGGATATTTACAAGACACATTTAGAAAACAACCGTAAGTTAATATACATAAATTATACTGTAAAGCAGAAAATATATAGCTTTAGTTTATTTAACTTAACAGACAGCAAACGCTTACAAAGAAACAAGATGTTGAGGGTCTCAGATGGTGGTGTCGCATCACAGGAGTAAAGTGCAAATGGTTTATTGGTGTCTAAATGCAAGATGTTGCTGCCTTGGTAAGATACCTCTTTATAACAGTTCCATTTCAAGCAACAATGCTGTTTTAGTTACATAGCTATGTACAAGTTCTTTCCCTATAAATTGATACAGTATCTTAATGCAACGTCAGAAAGCTACTCAAAACTATTATTTCTTGGAGATAAACAGAGCAAGTGCATTGGTTTTGTTGAAATCATGTTATTTTAACTTTTAAAAAAAAATCTGTCAGGTATTCAGAATCTATGGCTTAAGTATATGAAGGCAGAAGAAGCCAGTTTTAAACATGGAATAGATGAAATGTTAGGCTTGTAAGATTGAGTTATTGCTCCTGACAACAAGTGCAGCCTTTACACTTACTGTCAGGAATAATAAATTGTTCTTCAAAGCCCCTGTTCATGTCTGCATTGCTTCAAAATGAGTTTTCTCTCTCCGCTGATCTGAAAATCAGATGTGGCACTCTGCTTCCGTTTTGAGCTGGAAGAGTTTCCATCAAATTACTATTTTCCGTAGAAATGCTGCTCAATATGGAATATTTTTATGAATAATAGGAAGTCATGATTACAAATGGAAGCAAAGCAGGTGACGAAATGTGACTCAACGACTGCCTTTGGGGAATTCAGAATAGTAGCCGGGATTGAGTTGCAACAGCCTAGTGTCATAGGTTTTTGTTTTTAAATTGGATTTTAAATCGTCTTCTGGCATGCAGTTGCTCTGTTCCTTTTTCCAGATACCAAGCATAATATTACAGGTTTAATATGATGCAGGATTAAAGTGTACATTACTTTTAATGAATGGTGGACAGAATGCTCGTGAGACTATCTGGAAAGGTTGGAGCTGTCCTAGCTATGCGCTGATGGCTCCTAATTTTATCCATTTCTATCTTGCAAACCTGTTGATGAATTGTGTTGTAATGGTAGCATTTTAAATATTCCCAGTGACATAAAGCTCTTCACTATGTATATAAAGAAGCTGACAGTATTCCTGCGATTGTATAACTAAGCCAGGCCTGCTATTAACATTTGAATGAAAAACACATTGTGTATATAATTGAGTATATATGATTATACAATACCAGTTTGTGATATTTTAATTCCTTTTAAACATTTCTATTTCCATTGCTTGTTTGTTAAAATTAGATACATTGGAAAGGAAGAATTTATTACAACCTTCTTTCAATGGGGTGTGTTTAATCTAATGTGTAGCTTTTCAATTGTGCTATCCATTCAAGAGAATTTGCTTCAGAACATTAATCTAGTACAATGTGCATTTAAAATGAGGAAATAATAATCCTTGCGTTTTGATATAGCACTTTTCATGTCTTCTAGACGTCTCAAAGCACCACAGAATATACTATAAAGTGAATTGACTGTATATTTGTAGGCGAAATGCCATTAATGCAAAGTATTTTTCATGACTTTTTGAATTCTTTTGTCATAAACTACTTGAACTACACTGGAATGCAGAAAGATGCTATGAAGCAATTAAGATGTTCAACTTGTTCAAAAGGTTGGGAACATAGGAATTTCTGGTCAAAAAAAGACCAAGGTCCTTCTAGTTCGCCTTCTATCGTCCTGGTAGTCACATGCTACAATAATAGATGTTGATAGCAATTAATTCTATATGGATTAGTCTCCAACACAGTGGCACTCCCCGCTTTGCCTCCCACAATTGGCAGGTGGACCTCGGCCCCCCCTCCCTTGCCTCCGTCAAGACCCCTCTCCAGACCCTCCTCTTCAACTGTGCCTTCGGTCAGCCTCCTACCCCTAACACCCTCCACCCCTCCTGATCCCAACCACCAGCTCGGATGCGGATCCCTGACTGTCCAGCGCCTTCGGACATCCTCCAGATGTGAAAAGCGCTGTACAAATGTAATTTGTTGTTGTTGGAAAGCTTTGGGAACCTTCGATCCAAAAGTGCCTAGTTCTTTAAAGTTCATTGACTTTATTACTGTAGTATAATGTTTGTTTCCTTGACCTAAGGTTTCGGTAGCACTGGCTCCCAGATTGATTCTGCTCGCATGAATCTTGCTTCTTCGTTTGTTAATGGCTTTGTGAATGCTGCGTTTGGACAAGACAAACTATTAACAGAAGATGGTAATAAGTGGCTGTACAAAAATAAAGACCATGGTGAGCATCTCTGAACACTAGTAAAATGTTGTGTTGTTGCATTTAGTTTGGATGATTACCTTCCCTTACTATTGGACCTATTCTGTGTGTTATTAGGCATGCTAAGTGCTGCAGCTTCGTTGGGAATGATATTGCTCTGGGATGTTGATGGTGGCTTGACGCAGATTGACAAGTATTTGTATTCATCAGAGGACTATATTAAGGTGAGTCAGCATGTAATGCATGTCTGAGTCTGTTTTATATCCTTACACTCATTTGACAAACTCAAGACAGAGCAGATTGGGATTAATGGGGATTAATGCAACTTGTTCACATTAGTCTATTGGTGGGTGCCACTGTGAAAAGGTTTGAATTCCTGGTACAGCTCTACTAATGCATTTTCTGTATACCCTTTAGACAAAGGTTTAGTGATTCACTTGTGGCTCTGGCATTTCCTGATTAGAAATCTTAAATTAACTAGCCACAGTTTCTGACAGTATTTATTAATTATAAAACTATTGCTGTATATTGTATTAAAAAGATTACAATTATTCTGTCAGTGATGTGGTTTCCTTTTTAAAGGAATACTGAAATATTCACAGTAGATATATAAATTGTGATTGATATTTGTATAGCACCTCTTACGTGAGGGGGGAACGTCACACAGCTGATTGGGAACTTGTGATGGTTGAAAGCGAGGATGGAAGAGGCGAGGCGGAGGGACTCCAGGATAGAGTTAAAGAGGAAATTAAACCGTGCATGCTCTTATCTGAAATGCAGTAGGCTTATTCCTATGTAACGTCATTTGAAATCTTATGAGTGAGCAATAAATTAATATTTCTTTAAAACTGTTTAAATTAGCACTTTTTTGATTTTCTCGGTGCTTAACTACCCTTTTATAACAATTATTTAAACTATTGATTGAAGAAAGTGTTGGGTATTTTACAAATGAACAATCGAGTAAAGAATTAGCTTTAAAATTATTTTTTTTCGTTCCAAAATTACTCGTTTGCTAAAACCTTACCTGGACCATTCCTTTATAAGATTAATCTGGTCACAAGAGATATGCAGATCAAGGAAGCTATCAAATATCAGCCTACCATCTTCCATTAAACATCAAGCTTTTATAAAATCAGTGCAATGCCATGCCCTCCTCTCATCCATCTTTGTCCAGCTTCATATTGGACTTTGAACAAAAAAAATACTTCTTGGCGTCCTTCCTTACGGTGTTTTTGTAACCATGAGCCTTTGCCTTTGAGTCCTGCTGCCTCGGGCCATATTAAATAATAGACACATTTTAGTTGGGTTTTACATTGAATATGCGTTTGTTTAAACTTGTGATCGCTTCCTCCCATCTAGTCTGGTGCATTGCTTGCCTGTGGCATTGTCAACTCTGGCGTCCGGAATGAGTGTGACCCCGCTCTCGCTCTCCTGTCAGACTATGTCCTGCACAACAGCAACACCATGAGGATTGGAGCCATCTTTGGGTATGCATCTTCCCTTCCTCTGGCGTGTTCTGTCAGTCACTGCCAGTGCTGCCACTGTCAACAATAACAACAACAACAACTTGCTTTTATATAGCGCCCTTCATGCGGGGTAGCTTCCCGGAGCGCTGTCAAGCTACCCTGTGTGAGGGGTTCTGTATAAATGCAAGTTGTTGTTTGCAATTTGCGAGCGTGCGAAATTTTATACGCTTGCATCTTCAAATATTACGTAACCCAACGCGGTTTGGCTATTGTAGGGTGTATTCAAGAAATGTACAGGTTCGTAGAACATATCAGACTGCAGTGTTGAGTAACCTGCAGATGTCAGTCTTGCATAGATTTTTGGGGTATTTGAGCACAGTTGTTGATTTTTATTTGAAATGTACTTTTTCTGTTAGGCTCGGGCTTGCGTATGCTGGATCCAACCGTGAGGACGTGTTAGCTTTACTTCTTCCAGTGATGAGAGACTCGAAATCCAGTATGGAGGTATGACATTCAATCGAACGCTGACTGTGTTTTGACCAATTTATTTCTGCGGTTCCAGTAAAATGACCAGACTTCTGTTATTTTTTAACGAGCATTAATAAAAACATTCTACTAAATTGGTGTAACAAAAGTTAAATCATTGAAGAATGTAGTGGGAGGGAAGCCAAGGCAGGCTGATGGGATTGATTTATGATATAACGCCTAGTTTGCTTTGGACGGACATTTGTGTTTGAAAATGTGAGAGTTAACGACATCGCTGGGGGAAGGCGAGGGTGACAGAGTTACTGAATTTGGTGGTGTGAGGGAGTCGTGTAACCGAGTGATTTGTTGATTCTTAACCTTTTACTGCATTCCACTCCCTCACACTGATGAGTAATGGTAGCAATTTAAAGAACTGAAAAGTTAGTTGTGGATGTTCTTCTCTTTCCTCCCACCTCATTACAACGCAAAAAAATAAAATACTGGTGTAATCCTGGCCTTGGGTGACTTTTCTCCGGCTCTGTTAGAATCCGTGGCCTTGACTCAGCCTTGCATTTTGTCCCAAGCTGCAGTTGGTCTTTGGATTGATCCTTCACTGGAAAATTACTATTAATATACAACTCTCTTCCATGTGACCCTACAACCTGACGCCCTTAATAGTGTGCAAATATTTCATTTTGTTTTACGTACATCACAATGTTCAAGTTAAAATTAAAATCGTTAATATTAACAATGTCGATGGGCTTAAGTCCATGTATTCTATCGATATGGCTAGTGTTTAGCTTTTACTATATTGCACCCATAATTTGTTCAAAACTAACCAGCCATCAGATTACAGTGTTAAACTCTGAGCTGTGATAAAAATGTATCTGCTTGTACTGCTTTTAACAACATTTTCTTGCCCCTTACTCTTATATTGATCTTGTTTTACTATATTCTGCTTGGCCTCAATTGTTTTAAAGGGATTCGATAGGATAGATCCAGAGAAACTATTTCCTCTGGTAAGGAATCCAGACCAAGGGGGGCATCATCTTAAAATTAAAACTAGGCTATTTAGGAATGAAATCAGGAGGCAGTTTTTCACCCAAAGGGTAATGGAAATCTGGAATTCTCTCCCCCGAAAGGCTGTGGATCCTGGATCCATTCACATCTTCAAGACTGAGATGGATAGATATTTGTTAGGTCAGGGTACCAAGGGATATGGGCAAGGGTGGGTAATTGGAGTTGAGGTACAGATCAGTCATTATCTAATAGAATGACACAACAGGCTCAAAGAGCTAAATGACCGACTCCTGTTCCTATGTACATATGGTTTTGCTTGCCTTTCAGTCCAGAAAAATCATCCATTTAATTTTCGTTATTTCAGGTCAAGACTTTAAAAAAATCCAAAGTCTTTAATGATCCTTTCTTCTCCTTTTTCTCCCTCGCATGCCCGATGGGTAGTTTCATCTCTGTGACCCTTCCCTACATTATTCGATCCAAAATTTTCCCAAGTACGTCGATGACTAGAAGACATTATATTCCATTATCCATGCGAACTGCCTCACTTAACTTCAACACAAATGTTTTAAATGCTCAATTGTGCATCTCCCTGTGAAACATCTAGCCTAAAGCGTATTCCTTTTTTCACTAGTTTTTTTAAAATCTTCATTGCAGTGAAATAAAGATGCTCCTGTTTGTGAGGACAACCTGATGATTTTCACTCACTTGCTATCAGCAGAGATTTTGAGTTCTTTGTTCCACACAAGATATTTTCTTACATTGCATATTACCATTACTAACACAACAGGAGGATTAAAATGAGCAGGGAAATTATTCAGTGGCTCAATGGGTAAATGCACTGGTCTGGCAGAAATTATTCTTCTACAAAAGAGCCATTCTTGTAAGTCTCTGATGCCTGTGCTGTTTTCCACCTTACTGTGGAACATTTAAGTATTTCATGGAAGTAGAGAGAAAAAAAATTGAGACGAACAAATCAAATGTTTTTCCTGATTGAAGATTTTCCTGGTGTTTGCATTTCCTTATTTATTTTTCTTTATTTTAGCAGACTTGCTAAAATAATAGCTAAATTAATATTGAAATAAAAACTGAAGTTGCTGGGAACACTCAGCAGGTCGATGACCTGAAACATTAACTGACTTTCTTCTCTCCAAGATACTGCCTGACCTGCTGAATGGTCCCAGCGACTTGTGTTTTTATTTCAGATTTCCAGCATCTGCAGTATTTTGCCTTTTGTAAATTAATATTGACATTTTTTCACGAAAATTTTTTGAGTATTAATATAATTTGAGTAAACAACTGGTTTAAAATTTTCATCTGCAGGTGATTGGTGTGACTGCGTTGGCATGCGGTATGATTGCAGTGGGGTCTTGCAATGGAGAAGTCACGTCTACTATCTTGGAAACTATAATGGACAAATCTGAGCAGGAGCTAAAGGATACTTATTCCAGGTGGCTGCCTTTGGGTCTTGGTCTTAACCATCTGGGTAAGACAACAACTTGCATTTATATATCTGATCAGCCAGAAGTGCAGCAACACAGTGAAAGTCGTTGATTTCTATTGTGCGCAATTGGCTGCTGCGTTTCGCCCACAAAATACAGTCAATTCACTTTACAGTATAATCCTGTGAAGCGCTTTGAGACGTCTCAACAACATGAGGTGTTATATCAAATGCAAAGATTATTATTGACTCTCACTTGGTTTCTATGGCAACATCTCTTATTGTTGTGGTTTATTGTGTCCGCAAGTTGCATTCCCAATGAGTAAGTGATGTACACCAACTTCGGAAAGATATATCATTGTACATCCAACCTCAGAGAGAATACTTGATCATTATGTGAATACTGTTCGTGTTGTATCTGAAGAGCAATTGGCTGATATACTTCAGCTGACCTTATATGCATGTGTGGTTCACAGGAAAGGGTGAGGCCATTGAGGCCATCTTGGCAGCCCTCGAAGTGGTGTCCGAACCATTCCGTAGCTTTGCCAATACTCTGGTAGATGTCTGTGCTTATGCAGGTTAGTATACTTCGAACCAACTTCCTTAAGAAAATGCACGATTCATCAAAGTGTGTGATGCTACTATCAGGTCCTGGGATGTCTGTGTTTTGTGTGACTTTTCATTTAATGGATTTATCTCTGATGATTGCACAAGCAATGTGCTACTTTTTTAAAAATTGACGATTTCATTATTATTGTTTTACTTCTGAACCTGAAATGCATTGTTTCAACTTGGGGGTGGGTAGTGGGGGGAGGAGGATGTATGGTCTGTTGGGGAACTACAGATAGATCACTTTCAGAAACCAAAATAAATTCAGGGAAATAGGAAGAGATAAATAAGGGGTAGAAATAAACTTATTTAAGTGGATTTTTAAACCCTTTAGGTTCTGGCAATGTACTGAAGGTCCAGCAGCTGCTCCACATTTGCAGCGAACACTACGATTCGAAAGAGAAGGAGGAGGACAAGGACAAAAAGGACAAGAAAGATAAGGACAAGAAGGAGAACGTGGCAGACATGGGAGCACATCAGGTAGGATCCAGCAGCATCAAGCTGAAAAATGGACGATTTCCGGGTCATCAGGTCGCTGCTGACATCACTTCATTCAGAAAGTTCCAGCAGTGATTGCCTGGTGACCCAGTAGTCACCCATCTTTTTTTGTACTTTGCTTGTAATGCAACCTCGGGGTTATTGGACCCAAAGGACTGTATTATAACCAGCTTCACTGTACTTGCCTTCTGAACAATTAATTTTATATTGCTTGTGGGTGGAATTAATGCACGAGCAAGTAAAACGATGCAAGGTGCAAACAGCCATGACAAGTAATTGCTCGTGAAATTAGAGAGGATTGACTGCAGATTAGTTTGTAGTTTTGACTACTGTAAGTTGTACCTGCTGTTTGTACCTGCTATCAGATGTCTTAATAGGTTCCCCGATGACTCCGTGAGTTTCTTTAGTGATTGGCTGAACCATACAGATTCCAGGATCATTGCTTTTTCTATGGTGAGTTAGGAACATAGGAACAGAAGGAAGCCATTCAGCCCCTCAAGCCTGTACCACCATTCTATTAGATCATGGGTGATCTGTACCTCAACTCCATGTACCCGCCCTTGCCCCGTGTCCCTTGATACCCTGACCTAACAAATATCTCTCCATCTCCGTCTAATGCTAGTCAGTCCCCTAGGATAGGAAAGGGAAATCAGCCCATCCCAACCACTATCCAGCAACAGCCTCACCCAGCTGATCATCCATTTGACTTGCTGTAATGAAGACCCTCTTTGTTTACAGGGAGTAGCGGTGTTGGGAATTGCATTAATCGCCATGGGAGAAGAGATCGGAGCAGAAATGGCTCTCCGCACATTTGGACACCTGGTAAGTTCCAGACTGGGGAAAGAAACACTTTGAATGGTTCAGGTTATGAAAATCATTTTGGTCTGTGTGTACACTCTCTACTCAATCCTCTGCAGGAAGAACATGTTCTCTGTTCTCTACTAAAGCCTGTACAGAAGCTGTGTACTATATTTGTACAGTATTCAACAATCCAATTTATTTCTCAAAGGAGCTGGGCTATTAACTCAGTATTTCTGCTATAAGCGTCAAAACTTCCCCTTTTCTTGTACCGAAGGCTAATGTGCATTTCAGTAGAGCAGGGCAGGCCAACTTACACTTACGGCTTCACGTTGGTAGTACCAAATGCGTGTTTGAGTGCTGGTCACAGATCAGCACAGACCGTGCAATGCACAGATTCACACAATCTGTTATAATGTAAGAACTGCTTATTGAGGTGCAGAGCACGGGGCAGCAATTTACTGTGTTTTTCTCCTGGCAGTTGCGGTACGGTGAACCCATTTTAAGGCGTGCGGTCCCTCTCGCTCTGGCATTGATTTCAGTCTCTAATCCTCGGTTGAGTATCTTGGACACGCTGAGCAAGTTCTCTCACGATGCTGATCCCGAGGTGTCTCATAACTCTATCTTTGCAATGGGCATGGTTGGAAGCGGTGAGTAAAGTTCAGCAATATTAGATAAGTAAATAGTAATACCCCCTCCTCCCAGGGAGCCAGACTAATAGGGGAGGGAGCCAGGCCGGGAGCCGGCATTGCATTGTTTGAATCCCGCAAGCAGAGGATAGCAAATAAACTATCTTCTGGTTGCACGATTCAAACAATCTTAGCAAAGTCCATATCACTGGCCACTGTGAAGGCGTAAAGGACGGTGAGACTGCTCAGCGTTGCCGAGTGCGAGGAGAGTTGGGAGTCTACACTTTCGTGGGCCTGTGGAATTTTTTTAAAAAAATTGCTTTGGTATCAGGTTAGGTTCAAATTCCAGATCTCAAGCTGGGAGTTTACTGTACAGCAGATTAAAGCAACAACACCAAATTGCATTTCACGTCGGGAGGACGTCCCAAGGCGCTGAAAGCAGGGATCAAGTGAAATTGTGTGGGATTTGCTGAACACATGGACAGTAATGAAAAACCATCGACAACAGTTGGAGGCCTGAAGGGATATAGTGATAGTGTGGGGAAGTGAGGCTGAATGAACAGCAAGATCTTGAATACCTTAACAGGAGAGACAAAAGTACTTTAATATCCAATTAAATTGATTTTAGTAGTGTTCGGCTACTCTTGCCACAATCTTTAACATTGTGCTTTGAAAGATTATAACAAACAACTTGATTTTCTTCTGCGTCACTTGACTAATTGTAAGTAGATAGTTTTAAAGTCCTGTCATGAGAGATCAACAATGTAAGAGATCAAACTTGTTAAAGGCCAATTTGGCTGTGAGTGCAGCTGAGTTAAGAGGCAGCGCACAAATAATAATGGGAGTTGAATATCAACTGAATAAATTGTCAGTACATTTGGGGGTGTGATGCCATTCAGTGCTGATGTCTTTATTTTTACACATCTTTCCCTTACCCGTTAATTACTCTTCTTTCTTTGCAGGTACAAACAATGCCAGACTGGCAGCCATGCTCAGACAGTTAGCACAGTACCACGCCAAGGACCCAAATAATCTGTTCATGGTTAGAATAGCACAGGTGGGTGTAGGCTTCTTTAAATGGGTCTCAATTACCCATTCCTTAGAAAAAAGAATGCTATCAGTTGAAGTGTACACAAATATACTTGATGTGAGGGCTGACGTCTGAATGTTGAAATGCAAATACATATCACCCATGAAATGATCTAAATTTAGGACAGGGAGGGCTTGGCAGTTGTTCAACTGAGAGAGACACCACAACCAGATCCTGTTCTATTTCACCTTCCCTGCTTCACAGGGAGGGAAACCCTGGATTGTTTTTTTCCTCCTCCAATTCCATATCCGGTTTGAAAAATAATGCAGCACAAAACGGCATGAAGCTTGGACCTTCTGGCTATGTTTAACTGTCACAACTTTACTAATGGAGTGCTTAGAGGTGGCCGAGGTACGTGATGTTTAACCAACATGAGAACCGAGGTTGTCTGTCTGGTGCTCATTATCTCAGCTGAGACACAAGATGAAGCAGCTTAAATTGCTGGAAGCGGAAAATTAACATTGTTTTTTTTTACCCGCACCACAAGTGCAGTGCTTAACCACTGATTGTGGAATTGGAACCTTTTTACAGGTAATAGTATTAAGTTCTAGTTCAGCTATAAAGAGATATAGACTTTAATCATTGGGGAAAACAAGGCAAAATACTGCAGATGCTGGAAATCTGAAATAAAAACAGAAGTGGCCGGGAACACTCAGCAGGTCAGGCAGCATCTATGGAGAGAGGAAAGTGAGTTTGACGTTTCAGGTAAGATCATTGCCCTGAAACCTTAACTCACTTTCCTCTCTCCATAGATGCTGCCTGACCTGCTGAGTGCTCCCAGCGACTTCTGCTTCTAGTCACTGAAATATAATTTCGGTATTAAAGACGAAATTACATTGTGAGCTCATGGGAAAATCTCGAACGTAGAAGCAAATTTGCCGGTGTATTCAACACGACAGCCAAGTCACCCGGTATTCTGTATTTTTTTTCTCTTCCCGCCCCCTCCCATCCCCAGGGCTTGACTCATCTCGGAAAAGGAACGCTGACGTTGTGTCCATACCACAGTGACCGACAGTTAATGAGCCAAGTCGCAGTGGCTGGACTTCTCACTGTGTTGCTCTCGTTCCTCGATGTGAAGAACAGTAAGTTTTATTTGCGCTAATTTACGTGCCTGTGCAAAGTCAGGCTGCTCCTAATTGCTGCTAAACAATGGTATTCACGCCTGTGTGTGAAGTGCTAATGTGCACCTAATCCATGACTGTGGGACACTGCTGTATGCAATTGGCTACCACATTTCCCCCACAAAATATACAGTCAATCCACTTTACAATGTATTCTGTGAAGCACTTTTGAGATGTTTCAACAACGTGATAAGGTGCTAAATTAAATGCAAAGATTAGTATTATATTACAGTGTTTAACACACTTTGAAAGTACGTTTGAGTCTCTCTGTGTTTTAAATCACTGCTCACTTGATCCTGGATATCAGCCAATCATGCTTAGCCAGAGCTCTTGCAACAATGACCACCTCCTACATGTGGGTTTCCAGACCATTTAAACCCAGATCAGTTTTTGTCCATCTGAAAGAACACTGCACTATATTTTTTCAAATTGATTTACTCGAATTCAAGATCCTCATCCTCACCTACAAGGCCATTCACGGCCTCAGTCCCTCCTACCTCTCCGACCTACTATCCCCCTACCTACCTGCCCGTACCCTCTGTTCCTCTGGCTCCGGTCTGCTCCACATCCCCCGCCCTACATCGGTGGCCGGGCTTTCAGCCCCGAGGCTCTGGAACTCCATCCCCCAGTGCCTTTGCCTCGCTTCCTCCCTTTCCTCCTTCAAGGCCGGTCTCAAGACCTTTCTCTTTGACCGTGCCTTCAGCTCCCCTCTCGACTCTCTACCCCCTCCTCGCTCCCTCCCTTCCCTCCCCTCACCCTGACTATTTCCCCCTGCTCGGGTCCTGACCCAACTGTCCAGCGTTTTGGGACGTCCTCCCGAGGTGAAAGGCGCTCTATAAATGGAATTTTATTGTTGTTGTTGTACTTTGGAATCTACATTTGATTCAACCACAAATGTACAGTCAATTCACTGTACAGTATATTATATGAAGCACTTTGAGATGTTGTGATGACCTGATGAGGGGCTATATCAAATCCAAGAATTATTATTATAAAGGGATAAGAGGACAGGAAGAGTGAACAGCGGCGCGAATGTAGTATTCTACTACTAATAATAAATAACATTTGAGGGTTGAAGGGAGGTCGTAGACTGCGAAGTCTAGGTAAATTTTGGTCGGGCTTTGAATGTGGAGTGGGAGCAGGCAAGCCAAAGGGGTAACTTTGGAATCTACATTTGATTCAACCAGAAATATAGTCAATTTACAATATAATCCTGTGACGTGATACACGATATATCAAATGCAAGGATTACTAGTATTATTTTACAGTGTAATTGGTACATTATTTCAAGTATTTTTATATTTTTTTAAATTGTAAATTTTTTGTGAAATTATTTCTCCGATACCTCAAACCGCTGGTTTTTGAGTACCTTTGTGAATGTAATTTTCACTTGCCGGTCTTGTTGCAGCTTTTCAATTGCTAGGCAGTGGTTATAATGGAACCTTTACAGATTCAGTTCATTTTGTCCTTTAACACACAGTGAGATATAGAAGCTGTGAGCGACTCGGGTTCTGGAAGTGGAAATTTTCTCTGCTATCGATGGAGTTACAGGCTATAACTCATGTCGGTGGTTTGGTGTCACAGGAACTCTTTGATTAAATTACAGCGTAACTCAGACCTCTGCATCCTTTGATCTAAATTTAATTTACAAAGGTCCATGTTCAGTGCGGTTAGATGTTCATTCAACATTAATACTGACATTAATGCAAATGCTAAGCTCCATCCATATGGACAAGTGAACCAGAGGGGAGATGAGGAGAAATTATTTTTACACAGAGAGTTGTTTCGATCTGGAATCCACTGCCTGAAAGAGTGGTGGAAGCAGATTCAGTAATAACTTTCAAGAGGGAAATGGATATTTAATTGAAAAGAAAAAAAATTGCAAGGCTATGGAGAAAGAGCAGGGGGATTAGGATTAATTGGGTAACTCAAAGAGCCACAGGTACAATGGACCAAGTGTCCTCCCTCTGTACTGAGGGATTCGATGACAATGGAAACCCGAGCATTGTTTGCTAACGGAGAGAGAAAGAAACTAGGCTTCCTTGATCCAGAGCAACATTCTGTGGAAAATGAATCACTTCTCATCGTACAGCTGACGTGTTGGTGATCATCTGAGGTGTTGTCAAGGACGCTACCCTGTGTGAGGGGACCCTGTGTATATATATATATATGCAGATTGTTGTTTGTGATCAAGTTAAAAGATGAATATTTGCCTTTATTTACAGTAATCCTCGGCAAGTCCCATTATATTCTGTACGGTCTGGTCGCTGCGATGCAGCCTCGGATGCTGGTTACGTTTGATGATGAGCATCGACCATTGCCGGTGTCTGTGCGAGTGGGACAGGTACGGAAACAAACTCTTGTGACTCCATCGTCGCAGTAAACTCCTTCAGCTTAAAACTCTTCAAAATTCACTGCAGTTCAAAAGCTGTACTTTTTATTATAAATGGGATATTTTGCCTTAATGTTCATTCCGACTGCCCAGCACAAACACTACAGATATTTCTCCATTCATTTGTGGGCTGACTGTGGGTCATTGTTTTGTGTCTCGAGGGTAGAATATGTTTTCACCACACATGGATCTTAGTGCTGTCATGGAACTGAAGCTGAACAGTTCTCACGGAGAATTTATCAAATGTTTGACTATTTGTTTTTCTTCCTTTTTTAAAAAAAAACCTCCAGTCCTTTGCTCCACTCACACTAAATTCCAGCACAGTTAATCACTGCCGGGGGGGGGGGGGGCGGTGTGGGGAGTGGAGAGTTGCAGGGTTTTGACTTTTGAAGCAACCACATGCAATCGGGAAGCCTCTCTCTCATGATGCCACCATCATCGTGCTTTGCTTAAGCCCAGCTTTGCCCAACAAGGTATTAGTTTTTGTCTCTTTCCTTCCCCCAACCCCTGTGCTCCCCAACTCTCACTCACGTTCTTTGCTTTCCTGTCGTCTTGATCTCCAAATGAAATGTTTCCACTGAAGGGATTGATTCAGACTGAAATGAGTGGACCTGAGCTTGTGTGAGGAAGGGTTTGCAGAACTAGAGAACTAGGCCATTACGGTCGGCCTTGGTTGGTCCCAGTTGAGGTTCATCTCATCGTGGGCTCTGTTCGAAAAGAGGAGGGAGTTTCTCTCTCCCAACGACCTGGCCAACAATCCCCTAAATAAAATCGGACATTCACTCCATGGTTGTTTGTGGGACGCTGCTGAGTGCAATTGGCTGGTGCGTTTCGCCCCAAAAATACATGGTCAATCCACTATATTCTGTAAAGTCCTGTAGCTCAGTGGTTAGAGCACTCGCTTTGCAAGTGAGAGACCTGGGTTCGATTCCAGACAGAGGGCGAAACCTTGGGCAAGTTTCCTTACTCCACACACCTAATAATAATCCCTCCAAAACAAAACAATAATAAATTGGTCATTTTCAATCCGTGACTGTTTGTGGGACACTGTGTGCAATTGGCTGCCGCGTTTCGCCCACAAATATACGGTCAATTCACTTTACAGTCTATTCTATGAAGCGCTTTGAGACGTCGAGAAAACGTGAAAAGCGCTATATCAAATGCAAGGATTATTATTATAAGCACTTTGAAACATCGCCACGACGTGATTAGCGCAACGATTATTATTTGTCTGTCATTGCTGCCTGTGTCTGAGTGCAGGTCATGGGAGGCTAGATAGTCACAGGACGTAAGAGCCACAGTGAAAATAATAGCCAAGAAAATAATATTTTTGTCTTTGTCACAGGCTGTTGATGTGGTGGGTCAGGCGGGCAAGCCCAAGACTATCACTGGGTTCCAGACACACACAACACCCGTGTTGCTGGCTCATGGGGAAAGGGCCGAACTGGCGACGGAGGAGTACATCCCCCTGACCCCGATCCTTGAGGGCTTCGTCATCCTACGCAAAAATCCCAACTACAATGTGTAGCGTGTGACGGTTAAACTCTTTGGGCCTTTGTAGCTGGAGTATCTTTTTATTAATTAAGCTGTCAGCCATCCACGCCAAGTGGGAGCAAGATGAGATTCAGTCCACTCTTGCACCTGTTTGGCATCGTAGAGGGGTTCAGATGTTAGCTTTTGTATTAATTTACTGCATGACTGTTGTATTGTACTTCATTACATTTTCAGTATAACACAGCATCTAAATAAAGTTATTTCTGGATCTCGATTCCAAGGACATTGTTTAAATCTAGTCTTTTAACAGTAGTTTTCCTTACTTGCAGTCAACATCAGAACAACATATAGTTCCCTTCATGTAGGTATCTTCTCGGAGCACTTATTGGGTCGCTATTCTGCACTACGTGTAGAGGTATTAACTTGAAACTGCCGAGTTTCACCCACAAAATATACAGTCAGTCCACTTTACAGTATAATCTGTGAAGTGCTTTGAGACATCTTGAAGGTATGATAAGGCTCTATATCAAATGCAAGGATTATTATTACATTAGTCTGAACTTTACTGATGTGCCTCTTGGAGAATTGATGGTGAAGGTACGACAGCGAGACTAAATGAATCACTTTAAATGTACAGAGAATGGCAAATGAGTATTGTAGAGTTCCCAGATGTCAATCAGAGTCGACCTGATCGCTGTGCACCAATTCTGCGCTAACGTTGTGCTGCAGCCAGCGAGTGCGGAGAGGGTCAGGCTGAGCTGTGATGTTCTTTTGATCAGACCTGACCTTTGCAAACTTTGTGGAGTCCCGTGGCGTAGTGATTAGAGCGCTCACCTTGCAAGCGAGAGCATCCGGGTTCGATTCCCAGATGGGTCAAGGCGAAACATTAGGCAAGTTACTCCACACGTCTCTGTTCACCTAGCAGTGAGTAAGAGCCCAGTTGTTAGTCAATTGGCAGATCGCCTTTCTGTACGAAACCCTTAAAAAAAAATTGGGTCATTCACTCCACGACTGTTTGTGGGACACTGCTGTGCGCAATTGGCTGCCCTGTTTCGCCCACAAAATACAGACAATCCACTTTACAGTACATTCTGTGAAGCACTTGGAGACGCCTCAACAAAGTGATACGATGCTATAACAAATGCAAGGATTATTATTATGTAGCCTCCTGAAGAATATCTGCTGACCGCTATGGAATAATACCCCCAGACTACAACGAGAGGTGAGCTTAAAGCACCACAATGTGATTCTCTTTTACACTGTTTAATAATCTTGAAACCTGAGGCAATATTTTTCGAACCGGGACGGGTTTGCAAAACTGCTTCTCAGTTCTGCCAGGCATGAGCCAGCCCTGCTGAACCCTCCTTGGGGTAAAGTTTTCAGAGGCAGAGTTCAGTTCAGAAGGTGATGAGAACATATGAATTGCTGGACCAAAGAAGGTCCATCCAGTTCGCCTTCCACCATCCTGGCAGTTGCTTGCACATGTCATCTTCCCAAACTACACACTGCAAGAGGCATTCAGTAAAAATGCAAGGTTCATTCTTTTGGACCCGTAACAGTAAGAGAATGATGTGGGTTAGTAAATTGCTGGGTTGAATCTGAAATGACAGGAGAATGACCACTCAGTGTGGGCCTAGGGTGATGTTAGCAGCTTTCCTGCCAGTGTTCAGCAAAGTCTGTGTCACCGCCCTTTCATGTTTTCCCTTTTGAATGCATTTTTCTGGATGTAGGGAACCCTCGGCGGCAAAATGACAATAGTGCAGTCCCGTCCCTCATTTTGGGAGTGTAACCTAAATTGTCAGCAAAGCCCTTTTATGAACCTTTTTGCCTGATGTTTCCAACAAAGCCCATGTTTGTGAGCAAAAGAATAGTTCAGTGAGTGGAGTACTAAAGACCGGTTAGAAACTGCCACACAAGACTGTTATTTTAACCGTTGGTAACCCAGTGCAAAAATGTTCCACACAGAAGCGTGAACATTCAGCCCAGTGTGCCTTTGTTTTACCTGTGGTTTTTTTTCCAAATTGGATTCTTTTTAACTCATTTTCCTACTCTCTACCATATCTATCGCCTCGCAATTGTTTTCATGCCTCCTATCTGACACATTAACCAGCGCTGTCTCCATTGGATTTGTTTCTTCCACAAACAGTTACTCCATTTCACAGTAAACCCTGTGAAGCGCTTTGAGGCGTCTTTCCAAAATGATAAGGCAGCATATCAAATGCAAGGATTATTGTTATTCTTCTATAAGTGAAATTTATTTCCTGGACAAATAAAATTGGTCACTCATTCCACGGTTGTTTGTGGGACATTGTGTGCAAATTGGCTGCTGCATTCACTCACATAATAAGTACACAGTTGCACCATTTTTCAGTACATTCTTTGTGGAGTCCTGTAGCTCAGTGGTTAGAGCACTCGCCTCGCAAGCGAAAGACCTGGGTTTGATTTCCGGCAGGGTGAAACGTTGGGCAAGTTTCTTTACTCCACACGCCTCTGTTTACCTCGCAGTAAGTAGGAACCCGGTTGTTAGTCGATTGGTAGATCACTTTTCTGGGGGTGGTAATAATCCCTTCCAAAAAAATAATTATTATTTGGTCACTCAATCCATGACTGTTTGTGAGACATTCTGTGCCCAATTGACTCCCATAAAATACAGGGTCAATCCACTTTACAGTATATTCTGTGAAGTGCTTTGTGACTTCTCAATGATGTGTTAAGGTTTATCAAATGCAAGGATTATTATGTATTTATTCCCATCAAACTGTAACTTGCAGTAACTGCTAAATGCATTGGTTGACCTGTTATAACATGAATGAAATCTAACTAAAACTATGTGTGGCAGTTTACATTGCACTCGAACCCTGGGAATTCCTGCTTTGTTTTTTTTTGGTGGTTGTGGGAGAGAGGGGTGGGGTGGGGGGGAGCGACAGCAAGGATTCTATCAGTACCGTTCAGTTGCTGATAAAAAAAACATTTGTCACAATGAACTGAGACAACCGTGAAAAAGCATTGGCTAATTAGACGTGTGTCACCATGAAATGTACATACATTTACATGGCGATGGGAGCCATTAGCCGATATCGTCTTGTATGTGCTTGTTTGCAAATGATTAGTCACCAGCTGGCAAACCCACCTGTTTCTTGCTTAATCTGAATGGTCCACACCAACAAAACTCCCGTCTGTAATAGTCAATACATTTCTCAGGCATTCGGGTTTGCCAATGATTTCTGTGGAAACGTATGCCATTCCTAGTTATTTTAATGCCTTTGATGAAGTGGGGGTGAGAGGGAAAGCAATGATACTAGTAATCCTTGCTTTTAGTATACAGCTCATTTCACATCAGGAGGACAGCTCAAACTGCTATACAGGATATACCGTGAAGTGGACTGACTGTGTATTTGTTGGTGAATTTGCGCACAGCAATGTCCAACAAACAGCCATGGGGTGTGAGGACCAATTTTATTTGGGGGAATGTTGGCCAGGACACCAGGAGAGAAACTCCCTTCTCTTTTCTTATAGCGCCGTGGGGATCTTTTACGTCCAACTGAACAGGCAGATGGGACGTCGGTTTGAAGGATGGCATCGGTTGCACACGAGCAGCCTTTGATCGAGCGCAAAGCAAAGGAGATGTTCTTGTGTGCAGCAGATAGTTTCAGAGAACCAGGTCTGTAATACAAGGATTATTATTATTATTACTTTCGTAGGCCGTGCCCTCTGGTTCTGTGTTATAATGCTTTTATTCTTTGGGTCCTTCTCTCACTTTAAAGCATTAACCATCTCCCTAAACAATTTTTGAGACCAACGAACCAATGATAAAGTTTCTACAAAACTTGTCAAACAGGCTGTTGTGCAATTCAACTATTCCCCCCCACCCCACCCACTACCCCCTCCCAAGTAAAGTCATGGAACTATTAACCCTTAGAAAGGGCTGTGAAACCACAATTCTAGAAATAGAACAGCTCTGAATCATTTGAGCTTTGGGATATTACTTTCTCTTTCTTTTCCCCATTTTAATGCTAGTTTCCTGATTGCGATGATCTTTGGCAACAATTCTTGTCATAAGTAGAGATAAGTCCAGTTCCTGAGCCAGGCAGCTCAACTCAAAAGGTACGCTGATCACAGCACAGCAGGAGTTGGAGGGGCAGACAAGCTAACAACAACAAATTATATTTACACAGCGCCTTTCACGAGAGAAGGAAACCCCAAGCCTCTGGACAGTCAAGGATTTGCACCCAAGTTGGGGGTTGGAATCAAAAGGGGTTAGGGGTGGGGAGTGGTTGAAGGTGTGGTCAAAGAGGAAGGTCTTGAGGTGGACCTTGTCATTCAGTTCTTGTTAATAATGCAAGTCAAAACCCAAATGGGTATAATGGTCCTAGCTGGACAAGCAGCGGGAAACTTTTCTCAATAGCAAACTACCAGATGAAGTTTTAGTTGGTTAAACTCAGGCAATTACCACCACCTCCTTCCAACGCACACTCTGGGAGCCCTCCTCAAACCTTGGTTCCTGCCAACCTGAGTCTAGTACTCTCTCTGCCCAGGAACACACCCTCCTTACCCTCCTGACAAGGGGACATTTTGATAGACGGCAAACTCTCAGTCTGCATCCAGCTTTCGTGGCTCAATATCCCTTTCCCCCCAGCCAACCTCGTGTGATTCCCATGAAACCACTGTAGAGATGAGAGTGGATTTGTAGGTAAGTGTGCAAGAAACGGGTGGGGTTCTTAGCAAGTCTGTGCATGTCCTGATCAGCCGGAAGAAGCCTCGTCTTGTGTGTGGGAGCTGTGCTGTGTTCCTTGAAGGATCACTGAGTTAGCAGCACATTTGATGAAATCCTTGCATTTGACCTGATCTTGCATGGTTCGAATCTTATTTAACCAACCGCCTCCACTTTATTTCGGCAACTGGCTCTCCTCCCGCCTCTGCCCGATCACCTGCGGGTACCCCAGGGCTCCATCCTTGGCTCTCTTCTTTTCTTTATCTACATGCTACCGCTTGGCGATAATAATAATAATAATAATAATCCTTGCATTTGATATAGCGCTTTTCACGTCGGGAGGACGTCCCAAAGCGCTTCACAGAACACACTGTAAAGTGAATTGACTGTATATTTGTGGGCGAACGCGGCAGCCAATTGCGCACAGCAATGTCCCACAAACAGTCGTAGATTGAAAATGACCAATTTATTATTGTTTTTGGTTTTGGAGGGATTATTATTAGGCTCTGTGTGGAGTAAGGAAACTTGCCCAAGGTGTCATCTGCAGACACGGGCAAACTTCCACATGT